TGATGAATGATCAGAGTATTGATGAATGATCAGAGTATTGATGAATGCTCAGAGTATTGATGAATGATCAGAGTATTGATGAATGATCAGAGTATTGATGAATGATCAGAGTATTGATGAATGCTCAGAGTATTGATGAATGATCAGAGTATTGATGAATGATCAGAGTATTGATGAATGATGGTTGGGTGCGTTCCTCATCTGAAGCCCTTGCTCTCTGACTCCACTGCAGTGAACATCTCTTGTCTGTCTTTACGTCGTATTGATCCCATTACTGCCCATTACAGCTCATTGATCCGCCCTTTAGACATCAGTGCTGGTGTCCACGCTGTCCTTTAGACATTAAGACCTACAGACCCCTGTAGGTTAAACAAGAGCTGCAGCCTCCATCTATTACGCTGTGTTTCTCTTTTACATTTCTGAATCAGTTAAGCGTAACAGAAATCCACTCTTCCACGAGGGGCGGTTATGAACATTATAATTGTTTTTTTCTGACTGTATTTGTTGTCCTTCGACATGATGTAAGAAACAATGTGCTATCGATCCTCCGAGCTGTCAATACCTGCATACATCACCAGCTGGATCCGGTCTCGGATGGAGCTGTCGGAAACCGCCGCCACGGCGGTGGTCGCCGCCCCGGTGAGGTTGGGGGCCGGCACCGCCAGAGGGCCGACCAGGAAGGAGGTGGCGCTGCCCAGGTAGCAGAAGAGCGAGGCCACGGCCGTGGCGGTGGCTCTCTGGTCGGGGGCGAACCACGTGGTGGAGAGGAAGGGGCCTGAGCTCATGATGGTGGGGCCCGCCAGACCGTTCAGGAAGTGACCTCCGTGGATCAACCTGGAACGGAACAATGTCGATAAATTATATTCAAAATTCACTGTGAAAACCTCCGTTAAACAACCAAACATGGCTTCAAATCTGAGCATCTATCGAGATTAAATAAAAATTCGTGAAGAAATGAAGCTTTAGTTATTAATATCTGATGGAAAAGCAAGGCGTAGTTTTCCCAGAGAGAGTCCAGGGCCCTGAGGACTGAGACAGGTGAACTGCGAGACAGCCAATCAGCTGACAGGAGACGCCTCACGCCTGCTGATTGGCTGAGAGCTCAGAGCAGTGTGAGACTCAGCTGGAGAAAAAGGACACCAAGAGGATCTTTGTTTTTAGTTTTTTAGTTTGTAAATCTGACAGCTGAGATGATTGTTATTCTACATAAGTGAGTTCAGGCTGGAAGAGAAAACTGGATGTTTAACACTTTAGGACCTCGTTAAGACCAATAAGAAGGACGTAAATCACCAATCAGGTTATTAAAATAAACGTTCAAAGTTTAGATCCAAGAACGTACGACAACCCTCCACATTTAGATCCAAGATAAGAAATAATAAGAGGACATAAAACTTATTGTGCCAGAGTCTGATCAAAGAGTATAGATCAGAGAGTAGAAATACAAACATACATGAACACCAGAGTGATGACTATTAAATGTGTACATTTAGTTTCTGGATATACAAAGCAGCGATAAGAGGTGATTAAAGCTGTGACAGACAGAGGACGACGTCAGTGATGCACATAAACACAAACAGATCTGCATTACAGACAGATATTCCAGTTTGTATTCCATGTTTTTTTTAACTTTGCTGTTTTCTTCGTCTGACACCTCAGACTCTAAAATACAGCGTTTGTCTTTGTTGTACCAGCACGTGATTGAAGGTCAAAGATGCTGGGATGCGTTTACATGCCACTTTAAATGAAGACGTATTCAGGTTTGTGAATATGTTTAGTTCTTCCTCCTGCAGAGCTTGAGCGTCTCTCTTCAAGTCTCCACCTACAAACTAAAGACCAAAGTCCTTCCATCTGAATAAATAAACTCATCTCATTCAACAACGACCACCTTCACGCTGCTTCTGTATTCAGAAGAACTGAAGTCCAGTCTGTAGCGTCTAGAAGCTGCTTTAATGAGGACGGATGAGGAGTAGCGTGATGAAGAGGAGGAGAGATGATTAAGTTAATCCGTATTGATGGAGCCTGTCAGACGGTGCCTTCAGGGTCCTACAGACCACAATCTGACTTCACTAACAGACCAGAAGTGTTTCTGTACAACCAGAGGAGTCAGAGGAGAGCTGAGCTGTGATGAGACAACAACTCATCACAGAGACGAGACTAGGAGGAGGAGGAGGAGGAGGAGGAAGAGGAAGAGGACGAGCCGTTTTTGTCCTCCTGATCCTCAAACACATGAAGAGCACCGACCACGTTTATACTGTGAAACACCAGAGAGCGAACAAACCAAAGGAACTGAGAAGAATCAAGAAGACGACGAGTGAAACCAAACCTCCACGATATGTAAACTCATATCTCATATTCATACACCACTCGAGGACGCTTCGTGCAGGACGTGCAGGTCGAGATTACATCATTTCTTTCACTACATGAACTGACAATAAACTGATCTCATCAATAAATGTCTCTGATGTGAATCACGTTGTCTTTTCTCTCCTCATCAACACAAGAGGATCACTTTCAAAAAGCAGACGAGAGGAACTCCTTTGATTTCCTTTCAAAGGATCCTAGAAACCCAGAACAGACAGGAAGTCATGAGGAGAAAACAGGAAGTGACACATTGGACGTTTCCTGATCCGAGCCAGGTTTGATCCTCCGTTCTGCAGGAGGTCAGTGAACACAGCACACACACACACACACACACACACACACACACACACTAGAAAGCAGAGAGCGCCATCTGCTGGTGACGCAGGGCGCTGCATGCCTCTAATCCAACGTGTGTCTCTGTGTGTGTGTGTATATATAGAATCTTTGAGTCCCTATCATTATGAGCATGATGAAGTGGACTCGTGTGAAAGCATCTTAAGGCTCTTTAAACACAATGTGAGGAAACGTTCACACAGACTGTTACAAACATTAAACCTGATGCTCTTCTTCTTCGTCTTCTTCTTCTTTGATAAACTCTAACAGAGGCGTTTTATCTCCGTACAGTCAGCTCGTATCACTGCACCGATGCAAACATTAATTGATTAATCTGCTCTTTGAGAGCCCAAATTTAAAAATTAAATTTAAAAAAAATTTAATTTAAATAAAGGTCCTTTAAATGTGTGCAGTGAAAGCGATATGAAATACAACTTCCTCCACGTAGCGGTCTGATATCCTCCCTCATTGACAGTAATCATTACACAGATTAGCGCTCACAAGTACTCATGGAATTACTTTTTGTAATTGCAGTGACCTTCTCTGAGCTCCTGAGTGAAGCTCAGAATAATGATTTGGTTCTTTTAATGTTTCCCAGTCTGACATGGGAGGAGCCCAGCAGACCAGGGTCCACACGGGACCGAGACCTGGTTCCAGACCGACCCCTCTGTGTGGAGTGAACTTGTTAGATGAAGGTTATTTATACGTAGATACTATGGACGACGAGCCGCTCTCTTCCTCCTTTCCTAACCCTTTTTAGACCATCATGCTCATCACGCTGATGCTCGTGTGTCCTCACCATCTCCTGAGAGGCTGCTCCTTCAGAGGGATGCTCCTCACAGCCGATCCAAGCAGCATGAAGAACGCCGAGAGGAGGAGGGCCGCCCGGAGACCTGCAGAGCACACGGGCCGATCGTTAGTCATCCAGAGGAATATGTGCTTTATGTTTCGTCTATAAAACATAAAAATAATTAATAAAAATCACTATTTCATTCTTGATTTATCTTTAGTCTGTAAAATGAAAGAGATAATAAATTAGAGGTGAACGACCACGTTCACTACGGCGAGAATAGACTCAGCTTGATATTGGTGACGTGAGGTGCCTGCAAAGAGCTCAAAGGATATTAAAGAGACAAAACCACCGTCTGCAAAGACATACAAGTATCAGCTGACAGCAGAGCAGCTGCTTTCCTCCCATTGTTTCATCCACATGTCATACAGTTGTTGTTGTTGTGCAACCACCCTGCTGTTTATTGGTATGAAAACAACCTTTGTGACCGTTGCTTACGTCATGATGTGTGGTGCTCACACAGTCTGAGATGAAGGACAATGTTTCCCTCATGTGGACTTTTTAAAGTGAAGACGTCGGCCATCTTTTGTTTGTATAGTTTATAGAGATACATAGTTTACATTCCGTATGATGCAAACTCAACAAATGCTCTACAGGGATGTTCTACAGTTTGCGTTTTGTTTGTTTGTTTGTTTGTGTTGTAAAAAGGCTAAAAATGAATTATGTTGTGCATCCTCGTGTTTCATAATGACAAATAATCCTTGACTCCTTGACTCCTTGAAGGTTATGACGTTGCGTTTTAGAGAAGTCGATTCAGCCGCGTGATCCTTTGAGAGGATGTTTGTGTTGCTGATAAACAGAAAGGTTTCTCGGCTCTTTAACTCACCCTCATTGATTTAAATGGGGTGGACAAAAAATTAGATACACCCATCAATACAAACCAATAAAGTTCAACAGAAAAACAAACCTCCAAAAGAACAACAATAGTTTCAGCTAGCTGTAGCTAATACCCTGTGGTGTATGTGTATTTAATACTAAGAAGACAACAGTGTTGGACACGGTGCGTGTGACAGAAGTCTTTATTCTCAGTTTCAGCCACATGACGCTGGTTTAAGGGAACTCTCTCCACTTCCCTGTTCTTTTCTCTGCATCCAAGTCAGCTCTCATTTCTACTGAAGCTTTGATCAACGTGTATAAACACTCAGTTACATTTATCAATTATTGCATTTAAATTCAATGATCCTGATGGGAAACTCAGGGACAACTGTCGAGGCCGAAATAAACACGATTCAAGATATTTTACCGATAATTATAAAAACATTTTAAAAATTCAGTAAATCCCTCTGACCTTAAATCCTGTGAACAAATATCTCCACAGGACATAATGTTATTAATCATAGAAAAGATGATGTGACTCTGTTCTTTATTTTTTATATACACACATATATATATATATACACATATACATATCCATATATATATATATATAT